TATATATATTTATGGGGTACGATGAGATGTTATGATATGTGCACATGTTATGGAATGATTAAATCAAGCTAATTAACATATCCATCACCTCACGTATTTATTTCTTTGTGGCGAGAACATTTAAAATATACTGTTTTAACACATTTGAAATACACGATACATTACTGTTAACTATAGTTACCATGCTGTGTAATAGATCACTAAAATGTGTTCCTCCTGTCTAAATGAAATCTTGTACCCTTTGACCAACGTCTCCCCTTTGCCCCATCCAGCTTTCTCCCACCTCCCTACACTCTGATAACCATCATTCTCCTATTACTATGAGTTCAATGTCTTTAGATTCCACATATAAGTAAACTATTATTTGTATTTATCTTTCTGAGCTATAAGGCATTTTTAAAGCCACATACCAGCAGCTAACAAATATTTCACCAACTCCAGGTGTCCTTCCTGAGAAGCCTCCATCAGAGGCGTGGAACAGCCAAGTTCTATATCAGCCCCTGCCTTAATCAAGAAATCTGCAACTTCAGAAAATCCTCCACAGCAAGCCAAGGTAAGAGCAGTTTCTTGGGTTTCTTCTGTCTGGGCATTTATATTTGCTCCTGGGAAAACATAAAAATATATTAAACTAGTTGCAAGAGACTTATAATAAAGACACTATTTTTCTGAATTGTGATAATCATCTCTATCTTCTCTGCTTCTGTGGTTCTTTCCAGGGTGTTAACAACTTATTTTATCGTCAATGCAAAAAAAAAATAATAAACTATATATATATATATATATATATATATATACACACACACACACTAGTTATAATAAATTTCACTGATACTGACAAAAACATCCAAAGGAAACTGATTTTTTTTAAGAGAAGTAAAATTGTTTTACCTTGTGCTAAGAGTAGTGCCACCATCTCTTCATGTCCTTCCCGAGCAGCTTCCATTAAGGGAGTGTATCCTTCATCATTAACTTCTTCAAGATTTGCTCCCCTTTCAATAAGTAGAGCTGCCAATTCAACATGTCCTCCACAGGCAGCTAGTGTCAATGGAGATTCAAATGAATCTGCAGGCATATTCACTTGAGCACCACTATCCAAAAGCAAACGTGCCACCTCTACATGTCCATCCTGCATGCAGATTTTCAGAAGTAAAGCAAAAGGAGAGAAATTTTTTTGTTTTGAGATTTTTTTAAGTGCAAGAAAAGAGATGGGAAAAAGACAGAAAGGAAGAAAAGAGAAAGGAAGATTAGAAGATTTAGCTTATCATGCTCATCTGAGCCTTATCCAAAGTTCATGAATATTATTTTTAAATAATTTTAGAATTATTTTACCTTACTTTTGAGCAAGTCCAAAATTCTCCAACAGAATTGGACTTGGTGATATACAGTCACAATTCCAAATAATTTTCAATTTCCACATTTTTTGAAGTTCAAAAAACTGTTAGATCCACAGTCAATAGTACATCAAAATAAGTAGTTTATACTCATGCCAGGTCAAATATAGCCATACCCTCAAACTCAGGTGTCATGTTCAAGTGTAGAAACTGTATCAGATCTATTTTAAAAACAAAGGCTTGGCAAAAAATAACACAACAAATTCTGTGAAGTCATAACCACTTGGGATTATGTCACCAAGATAAACCCCTGGGGATTGATACTACCCTATATTTTTCCTCATTACAACAGCTTGTTGCAGTGAGGCAAAAAACTCTACAAAGATTTAAAAATAAGTATCATATTCATTTGTAAATGATTTTACCATGGGCCCATTTGCATAGATAGTAAGGCAATGAACAACAAAACATTTTCATGGAAGGTATCCATTCTATCCCTCTATCATCATAAATATCCTTCCTTAATTTTAAATTTTTAACTTCAAAATTTATATAGGCCTCAATAATGCCTGTTGTGGCACATGAAGTCAGATGCTATGTTGTTCTATATTTCAAAAATGACGGAGGCCAGAAGCAGTGGTTCATGCCTATAATTCTAGCACTCGGGGAGGCTGCTTGAGGTCAGGAGTTCGAGACCAGCCTGATCAAGAACAAGACCCTGTCTCCACTAAAAATAGGAAAAATTAGCCGGATGTGGTAGTATATGCCTGTAGTCCTAGCTACTCAGGAGGCTGAGGCAGAAGGATTGCTTCAGCCCAGGAGTTTGAGGTTGCTGTGAGCTAGGCTGACGCCACAGCGCTCTAGCCCAGGCAACAGAGCAAGACTCCGTCTCAAAAAAAAAAAAAAAAAAAAAAAAAGACTAATAGCATTACCTTTGTACATGATAATTAAGATATGGATTTATCTGAGCCATTTTTAATCTTACATTTTGAATATAAATAGCCATTTTTAATCTTACATTTTGAATGTAAATAATTACGGTAAATCCAAATAGTTCTATCTGTTCATTCAATGCAATTCTTCTAAGGAACTAAATCATAAGCACTCTATTTACCCAATTCTAGAAGACTAGAAGACTATAAAAATATTTAATAACAGATTTTTAACTCAGTCAAAATCAGTATGATTTTTCTGTACATTAGAGTACATTTAACAAATAGTTCCTCTTTTTCCTATTTAACTTTCTCAGAACTCTCAACAGGTTAAGATAGTGACTTTGCTGTAGAAAATGAAAGAAGGAAGAGAGACTCCAGATAAAAATTCAAGAGATAAGAGTATTAAACTTTGCTTACAATATCTAAGTTTTTATGCTCTACTCTGTTTTATTTCGAGTGATGAAATACTTCAATTTCTAATTTTTATAGATGATCGAAAGCAACTCCAAAACAGGAAAAATGATATAGAAAGAAGTCAAAAGATTGAGATCTACCTATCTCTCATAATTCTCAGACAAAAAAAAGTACAGCTATCAGAAATTTTAGCTGACAGAGCAGATCTTGATTAGTAAGAATGAATGGTAATAGGCCGGGCGCGGTGGCTCACGCCTGTAATCCTAGCACTCTGGGAGGCCGAGGCGGGCAGATTGTTTGAGCTCAGGAGTTCGAAACCAGCCTGAGCAAGAGCGAGATCCCGTCTCTACTAAAAATAGAAAGAAATTAATTGGACAACTAAAAATATATAGAAAAAAATTAGCTGGGCATGGTGGCGCATGCCTGTAGTCCCAGCTACTCGGGAGACTGAGGCAAGAGGATCGCTTGAGCCCAGGAGTTTGAGGTTGCTGTAAGCTAGGATGACGCCAAGGCACTCTAGCCTGGGCAACACAGTGAGACTCTGTCCCCCCAAAAAGAAATAAATAAATAAATTGCAAGAAAAATGACAGGGAGCCCATAGATTAAAAGAGACTTAAGAGACATATTAATCAACAGTGATTATACAAATCTTATTTCAATCCTGATTCAAACCAGTCATGAAAGACACACATACACATTTATAAGACTATCAGAGAAATATGAAAACTGCTTGGATATTTGCTAAGGAACTATTATTAAAAAGTCTCAGGCAGGAAAATGGTACTGTGGTTATTTTTAAAAGTTATCTTTTACAAATATATACTGAAATGATAATTTTATTAAAATGTTTTATTTTTAAATTAAAAAATTAAAAGTTAAAAATGTTTATTTTAAATAAAAATAATTTAAAAAAATAAGTGGGAGATGGGAGTACAGATGAAGTAAGATTGGCTATGAATTAAACATTCATGTTTTAACTGGGTGATGGGTTCTTAGAGTTCAGTGTACTATATTCTATATGTGTGTGAAAAAAATGTCATAACAAAAAGATTTTTTAATGGTTTTTAATTGTATGGGCCCTATTGGAGTTTTCTTTAGTACAACACTATAAGAAGAACTTCATGTAAATAAATCACACCTAAACCTAGGGGAAAAAATTTTTAGGTAGTGATCATATAAAAAAGTGATTCTCAAACACTGAGATAGTTCTGAGAACTACATACTTCAAATCAGCAAAAGGAGCTAAATATTAGAATTAGGGGTGATACTGTAGAAAAAACAATATCAGGAGTTCTAAGTTTTAATGTTGGCTTTGTCACTATTAGTAACATCATTATGCATCAGTTTCCATATCTACATTTCTTACTACACAGGAACTGGCAGCAATTAACAGAGATAACACAAGAGCTGAGCAGAATGCTTGTTATTCAATAATTTCTTTTTTGTTTGTTCGTGTTTCTTTAGAGACAGGGTCTAGCTCTGTTGCCCAGGCTGGAGTGCAGTGGCACAATCATACCTCACTGCAGCCTCAAACTCCTGGCCTCAGGCAATCCTCCTGCTTCAGGCTCCCAAAGTGCTGGTATTACAGGTATGAGCCACAGCACCCAGCTCTGTTATTCAATAATTTCTTAATAAATATTTATTCCTTCTTAAAAACAGTGCCCTGGACCTCTTGTATACTCCTGGATAGAGCTGGAATGC